CTTGTATATTGTCTTTTGTATTGTATACTGTTTTATGCATGCTTATGATAGAACCACTCGTTCATGTAATCTTACCCATACCATGTTTAGTATCTATGAATTTGTCTTCTAATGATCTAAACGAGAATGTATATTATATGTTGATACATAGGCAATATATTAGTTCATCACTCTTCAAACCCGGAAGAATGCGATCGCAAGTCCAAAACCATCAAGACTTCATCCGAGACTGCATCTGGACACTCGTACATGACCAAGGCAATGCAAGTATCATACATTTATCTAAACGAAACAGAGGTTTAGTATAAGCTATAGACCCCCTTATAAACGGCACTGATGGTTTTACTCAGCTGGTTAACTGACTTTTCTTTTTTTGAGTTTCTGATCCTGCTTGTGAATAATGTCCCTTTACGATTTTGATCCTTGCTACATGCTCTAAGGCATTAATACTGTAGGAAAGTATTTTCTGTGGCCACGAAAATATCCTTTCTTAGAGTTGATATGAAATTACACCAAATGTTCACTGGACGAACAGACTAGTTGATGGCAATTTAATTCTGCTACAGTTAATACTGGCACCTCATATAAATAATTGTAATTAATCATAATTAATTGTAATTATTTATATATATTTCCCTTTGAGCTAATTTGCTACATTTATTAGGCTTCCCATCCATTTGGCACGTATGGCAAGATCGGCAATACTTCGAAACATCAGATTTAATTCCAGGCCAAAAGAAATGATGCATCACGCGATAAAGTGTTTTAGTGACGCCCATATGACCAGCAACATTATCTTGCGCAACACTCAGCACTTGTTTACAAAAACTCGTAAAGCGTGTCCCAGCCTGAATTATCTGATGTTGAAGGTGTCCATTTTCACATTAAAATTCCATCTTCATAAAAATAACCAATTGGTTTAGTCAAGTCAAGTCAAGTCAAGTCTGCTTTATTGTCAATTCTTCCACATGTACAGCACATACACACAGAGAATTGAAATTGCGTTACTCTCAGAGAAGCCGCAGCGTGTGAACGCGCCGCCATCTTGAGGTCATAGTTTACTCGCAACATCCTCTTTTGTGACAGCAGAATCTCAGCAGCACGCGCGCGACGGATCTTGTTTTCGCTCAATAGCAAACGTTGCATGATCGATAGACAGTAACAGATCAACAGAATCAGCGTCAGCACCACCGAGAGGGAACAGCGACGCAGACACGGACACCTCAGGCTGCAACGAAACAGGGTCAGAATCATCAAAAAAAATTAAAATAATAAAAGTCAGAGAGAGATTAACGACATTAGTCAGTTACTTTTCCACCTGCCAAATCATTTCCAACAATCAGTGTAACAGCCACTTTTACGAAACCAGTTATCAAATCGGAAAGAATATGCAACTTATGCAAGGGAGTCTTCACAACTCCCATCTCAATTCCCTGCACTAAAACATCTGAGCCACAGTACATTTCCTTCAAGAATGGCAAAGCACTTTCTAAAATGAAGGACTGAGCAGTTCCTGTATCACGCAGCCAGGTAACAGGGACTTGATCCTCCTCTAGACCACTTATCGAAATCATACCTTGACCAATAAAAGGTTCAAAAACAGAATCAATTTCGTACTATTCCGTACCGACAGTTCGTACAAAGCCAACACTTTTCGCTTGTCTAAACTTATTTTTCTTTTTCAAAACGGGACCGAAAGCAAATGACCAGTCTCGTGACAATGAAAACATTCACGAATGTCAGGTGATCCTGACAATTTCATTAATTTGGTTGTTTTGGGTTTATCCGAATTCGCAGAATACGGTAATTCTCGCAGAGCAGGTACTGCAAACACATTTTTGTGCATTAATACAAATTCATCAGCACACACTGCGGCCTCGGCAAGAGTGGAAATCTTTTTCTTATTTAAGTATACCGCTATTTTATCTGGCAATGAATTCTTAAAATCCTCAATTAAAACGAGTTCACGAAGCTGCTCAAAATTAGTCGCTTTGCTGGACTGGCACCACTTATCAAAGAGAACACTCTTTTCACGAGCATACTCAACGAATGTTTGTTTGGCAGTTTTCACGTGAACAAAATGTTTGACGATAAGCTTTGGGGACAAGCTCATAGGCAGACTCTCAACACAGCAGACTTAATCTTATTATAATCTAAACTGTCATTAATAGACAGCGTCGAACAAACTTCCTGAGCCTTTCCTGTCAAACGACATTGCAACAAAAGAGGACACATTTCTTTTTGCCAATGCTAAGCTGCAGCAATGGTTAGCCTCCCTAAATGGTGGGACGAGGTTAATTTGTTTACAAACATCGAAATCAGAAGAATTTGCAGAAGGCATAGGCACTGAGGAATCAGAGGTGTGATGCAAATCCTCGCCAATGGGGACAACAGCAGGTGCAGTCTTAGACTCATCAGGCGGCCGGCGACCAGCTTGCGTCTCCAACTCACATTGTCTAAAACGTAAAAGTTGTGTAGTATGTTCTTGACGCTTAATTTCCAAATCAAGTTGCTTTAATTTAATAGCGAGTTTTAAATCTTCCGTCCCTAACCCACTAAGCGAGCGAAGCACCGGATCACTACTCGGTACCTGCTCTTCATCAGCTGAGCCTTATTCAATCTCCTTAATAACCTCTCTTTCAGAATTGTGAGCTGCTATCAACACACCGTTTAATCAACTCAGTTTATATTACATCCCGCACTTCTTCCTTGCGAGCTGCTTTTACTACAACAATATCATAATAATTAGCAACCAAAAACAAATCTTCTTTACGATATGATTCCAATGCTTCAAACGAAGGCTTTTGTCGAAATGCCTCAATACTAAAATCCATCCTTGTATTCCTTTCCCCGCCACACAAGAAAAACTGGCAATCAAATTTACTCACCAGCAAAACGAAAAGGAAAATACATACCATAGGACGAGCCCCCATTTGTTACGGCCCATTTTAATAGGGTGAGAGGTGAATGAGTGATGTTAATGGGATTCTGACCACAGCCAACAGATCACCAAAGACAACAAATATAAGTTTAAACAATTTATTAAAGAAGAGTGAAATGAATGTAAGGAGCATTAGCTCCGGAGAGGGCCAAGGCCAAAATAACAAACAAAACAACTAATAAAACAGAGAAAAGATAAATGACTTATTTATAAAGAAAAGAAAAGTACAAATTAACTTCCCTAACTCCCTAAACAAAAACACATCGCAAAATTAGATCAAAATAAATGGCAGACCCCTCCTATGCTCCAAGAATTTTCTTAGGATAAACAGAATAAATCACAAATATCAAGCGTAGCGTTAGTTCCCTTTCATGGGAACTTCGAACTGCGTCCTCTAGGGGTCGCTATGGGGAACGCCTCGTCGTGACCCGTGT